GGACAGCGGGACATGTATGAGGACAGCAGGACATGTATGAGGACAGCAGGGCATGTATGAGAACAATGGGACATGTATGAGGACAGCAGGACATGTATGAGGACATTGGAACTTGTATGAGGACAGTGAAACATGTATGAGGACAGTGAAACATGTATGAGGACAGTGAAACATGTATGAAGACAGCGGGACATGTATGAGGACCGTGGGACATGTATGAGGACAGCTGGACATGTATGTAGACAATGGGACATGTATGAGGGCAGTGGAACATGTATAAGGACAGTGGGACATGTATGAAGACAGCAGGACATGTATGAGGACAATGGGACATGTATGAGGACAGTGGGACATGCATGAGGACAGCGGGACATGTGTAAGGACAGTGAAACATGTATGAGGACAGTGGGACGTGTATGAGGGCGGACAGCAGGACATGTATGAGGACAGTGGAACTTGCATGAGGACAGTGGAACTTGAATGAGGACAGTCAAACATGTATGAGGACAGTGGGACATGTATGAGGACAGTGGGACATGTATGAGGGCAGACAGCAGGACATGTATGAGGACAGTGAAACTTGTATGAGGACAGTGAAACATGTATGAGGACAGTGAAACATGTATGAGGACAGTGGGACATGTATGAGGACAGCAGGACATGTATGAGGACAGTGGGACATGTATGAGGACAGCAGGACATGTATGAGAACAGGGGGACAGTGGTGAGATGAGCTGTAGGAGTGACAGTAACTTCAGTGTAGAAGAGGAATTGCATCAATAATCAGCTATAATATAATAACATCCTAACAAACAAGACTTAAAATGAAAAACAGGATTTGTACCTGGTCTTGTCATGCTTCATCAGCTTTGTGTTAACTTATTTGAATGTAAGGGACATTAATAAAACTGACTGCAACGGATGGCCATGGTTCCACACTTGTGTCATTTCATTTCACACAACACTAGACTCCATGGTGCTCATTGTGGCGAAAGTTTAAATATTTAAATTATAAAAATATATATTTTTCTCTTCTTTCTTTGTATACATTTTTTGTATTTTTGTTGCCAGTTCAGCTGAGTGGACAGGCAGCAAACTCCCTGACTCTCACAGAGACAGAGACCTGGTCAGAATAGTAATAAAGCATGAATGTGTGAAGAGAAAGGAGAGAAGAGCAGCAAGAGCTTCTTCTTGATTTATCCATAATTGAATGTCACCTCCACTAGGTGTGTTTTGTTATAGAAACCCTGCTTTGCTCTTTGTTGACAGGTCATTTCAGTATAATAAATGTAAAATTGGAGCAAAGTGCACCTGAGGTGATTACATGAAGAAAAAAGAAAAGAAAACCTTTTTTTCTGAAGAGAGTTGACAGAGCAGTTGAGCTGAAAGTAATTACAGCAGAATGATCATGATAAAACTAATGAAAGTGTCTTACCCAGTGATGATGATCTCTGAGTAGCTTTGTGTGCCTTGACCCCAGTTTCCCCCACTAACAGGCCATTCCTGGGTACACAGGAGACACAGTGGATGAGAAAGCCAGCCTACACAAACACTTAAAGTGGCTGTGGTTAAGTGGTTAGAACAGTCGTCCTTCAATGCAAGAGTTGGGGGTTCGAATCCACCAGCAGTCACATGCCGAAGTGTCCCTGGGCAAGACTGAACACCTCATTGCCTCCAATGCATGTCCCATCGGTGTATGAATGTGATAAAGCTCTGATTAGTCTCTTTAGAACGATTTGTTCAGTTAGCTTTGTACAATCTGGATTCCAAAAAAGTTGGGACACTAAACAAATTGTGAATAAAAACTGAATGCAATGATGTGGAGGTGCCAACATCTAATATTTTATTCAGAATAGAACACAAATCACAGATCAATAGTTTAAACTGAGAGAATGTATCATTTTAAGGGAAAAAATCCGTTTTTTCCAAATTTCATGGCATCAACAAATCCCAAAAAAGTTGGGACGTCCATTTTTACCACTGTGTGGCATCCCCCCTTCTTCTTACAACACTCAACAGACGTCTGGGGACAGAAGAGACCAGTTTCTCAAGTTTAGAAATAGGAATGCTCTCCCATTCATGTCTAATACAGGCCTCTAACTGTTCAATCATCTTGGGCCTTCTTTGTTGCACCTTCCTCTTTATGATGCACCAAATGTTCTCTATAGGTGAAAGATCTGGACTGCAGGCTGGCCATTTCAGTACCCGGATCCTTCTCCTACGTAGCCATGATGTTGTGATTGCTGCAGAATGTGGTCTGGCATTATCGTGTTGAAAAATGCAGGGTCTTCCCTGAAAGAGATGACGTCTAGATGGGAGCATATGTTGTTCTAGAACCTGAACATAGTTCTCTGCATTAATGGTGCCTTTCCAGACATGCAAGCTGCCCATGCCACAAGCGCTCATG